AGTCCACAGCTCCTGCCAGGCTCACCCTCAGTGAGCATCTGCAGGGACCCTCTTTCCCTGACAGGGGATGTGGGCTGGGGTGCCCCCACATGCAGAGCCTTGCTCCGTGTCTGGTGTGGCTTAGGATGGCGACTGGGGCTGCTGCTTACTTCTCACCCACTTGTCCCCCCAGGCAAACCACGCGACACCTCAGCACTGTCTGACCCACTCACAGCGTGGACTCGAGGTACATCTAACGTCTACAGATGACTCTGTTTGTCCTTCATGGCTCAGTGGTGCTCCACAATGTATAAATACCATTTCCTTTATCAGTTGTCTGTTGGTGGGCATTTATGCCGCCTCCAGGGTTTTGCCATGGTCAGCTGTGCTGTTTAAACCTGGGTGTGCGGGGATGGATCACTGCCCCGGGATGTCTTCGAAACCCCGGGTCTTCCCGGGGAAGCAGAAGGGCTGGGTCAGATGAGGTGTAGTGTTTGGTGGGACCTCTGTGCTGATTCCCCTGTGGCTGCCTGAGTTTATATTTCCACAGTGAGGAGTAAAATCCAGGAACTGGACCACAGGAAGCAGGACAGAGGGAGGGGGAGGAGACAGCTGAGGCCTGCTGGTGCACACCTCAGCAGGAGGAGTGTGACTTCCCACTGTGAGCTGGTGCAAATAAAGTAATATGAATTGTTTAAAAAGCCGAGGGAGCCCCGGTTTCCCAAGGGAGAAGCCTGTTACTCTGCAGCAGCCGCGGGGCAGCCTGGCTCTGGGGCCAGGACTGCAGGCCCCAGGCTGTATTGCCCCTGCAGGGTGGAGCAGTCCTGGTCTCTGGCCTGCTGGCCTCCGGGTCCCTTCTCCCCTCCCCCAGCCCCCTCCTCCACAGGTCTGTGGTCCACACTGAGGCGATGCCTCCTCTCCTCCTCCCCAAGCCAGCGCCCCATTTGCTTTCCGTTTCCTGCAGCAGGGGATTCTCTCTGTCCTCATCACCCGCTGGGATTTGTTTGTTTGTTTACTTTTTTAGAAAACCATTGCAGTCCTGCATCATCACCTACACCCTGCATCCCACACCCCTCACTCATTCTCTCAGCTGTTGAGGCCCCTTCCCTGCCTCCTCCTCTTCTGTACCCCACATCCCACCTGTCTCTGGAGGCTATGCTGTATCCATAGCAACTCACACCCCACCAGACCCGGGTTCAGGTGCACTGGGGCCGTGGGCATTGCTCCAGCCCTGAACCCCCTATCCATGACCCATGAGCCTCACTGCTGCCCTCTGGGTCTGGAAGGACCCTGCCCACTCTGTCCCCTGCGTCTCGTCCATCATCTGTAGGGTGTCCTCCACATCCCCAGGCCCCAGTGTGGGTCAATGGGCAGCTGTAGGTGATTAATCTGTGTGCAAGGTCCCGACCTTGGGGCTGGCTGTCTGCAGGTCAGGAGTGAGTGTCAGTGACAGTGAGGGGGCATCCTGTGGACTTGGGCTGGGGAGAGGACACAGAAATGGAGGGGGCCCTGGGCAGCTTTGTCCCTCTGCTTCCCCAACAGTCATGTGTCACATCTTGCTGCTCCACAGCCTGGGAGGGCTCAGGGGCCCTGTTGTGACACTTCTTCCTCAGATGTGTCTCTGTCAGGCAGCTTCACACAGCACAGCACTGCACCATGCTCCTGGAAATAGCTTAGTGACAAGGGTTCTCCACACCATCCCTGGGACAGACAGCTCCCGGGGAGGAAGGTGGGGAGCGGAGCCAGGCACCCACTGGAGGCCAAACTGTGGCCTTGGGCAGCTCCATTTCCCAGCTGCCACCACCCAGCCCCAGATCCCTGCTGCCCAGCCCCCTGGCACCTGCAGATTGTCAAGGCGGCAAGGCACATCCTGGGCCCAGTGGGAGTCTGCTCGTGAAACAACACTGACAGCCAAAAGAGAGCCCATGGCGAAGGTGAGGACCACAGCCTTGCACCAGCGCCCAGCAGAGGCACCTGACTGCCGCCTTCAGGGCAGAGGCACTTGCTCCTGACCAGTGGATGCACCACAGGGAGACTGGAGCCTGCAACCCCACCCCTCACCATGTACCCAGGACCCTGCCACCTGACCTGTGCACCTAATCCCTACTGAGAAAGGTGTGGCTTCCAATCCCTGCCTGCCCTGCCCCCGCTGGTTACCTAGGAGACAGCCCAGGCTGTTTTCCTGGGTAAAATTCACTGGGGAGGCTGCAGGAGGGGGTAAGTGCAAATGAGCCCAGTTCTCCCTGGCAAAGGCCTGTGATCCCAGTACTCAAGAGGCTGAGACAGGAGGCTTGCTGCTAGTGCAAGGCCAGCCTGGGCCACAAGCAAAACCCTGATTCAAAAATACATATAAATAAACAAAATAGAACAAAAACCAGTGGTAAGCATGGAAGCGCAGTGCCCTGCGTGGCCTTTCTCCTTCTCCTTCACATAGCATCAAGCCAAGCTGTGTTGGTCAGCTTTCCATGCTACAATCAAATACCCGAGGGATCAGCGGAGGAGGAGCAAAGGCTTATGGGTTCAGAGTTTCCAGTCCATGGTGAGTTGGTCCTGTTGGTTCTGGGCCTATGGTGAGGTTGCATGTCATGGTAGGGGATGCATGGAGGAAAAAGTCATTCACCTCATGGCCAGGGAGGGGGGGAGGGAAGGCTGAGTTCCAGAGCTCCGTCAAGGCCACGCCTCCAATGACCTCACTTCCTCTCTTCTTCAAGGCCACGCCTCCAATGACCTCACTCCTCCCAGCTCCTTCAAGGCCACGCCCCAGTGACCTGACTTCCTCCCAAAAGGCTCCACCTCCCAATAGCACTTTGGTCTGGGAACCAAACTTTCAACTCAGGGCTCTTTGGGAATGTTTAAGAACCAAGCAATAGCACAAGTCAACAGTGTTGTCTGTAAAAAAATAAATTCTATGGACAGAAAATGAGTAGGATTGAAATTTTGCAAAGAACAATCAAAAGAAGGAAGGCAGGAAGAGTGGAGGGGCAGAGGACACAGGAGCCTCCCCAAGTCAGCTTGCCGGGGCCAGGACTACAGCCAGTGTGATATCACAGGGGTCTCCTTTCTCCACAGAGTGCCCAGAAAACACATGCTATTAAATCCACAGCCCTGGACTAGAGCCAGTGGTACGGTCTAGATCTTTGAGACCAAGGGATGATTTCCACATCCATCGTTTTCTGTCACCTTTTCTTTAAAAAGGCAGCTTTTGGTGAGACCGGTCACACTTTGGAGCTGTGTGAAGGGCATCCTGTCCCTGCTCCCTGGGACCCTGAGCTTAGAGCTGCTGCTGCCCTGGGGTCCGGTCTGGCCGGAGCCCCGAGGCCCTGATGAGCTCCGGGGGAGAGGGTAAGGTGCAGAAGGGACAGGGTCTGAGCTGTCGCTTGGCACTGTAGTTTACATCTAGATGTTCCTCCAAAGCCTCCTGTGGCCATCAATGGGCTCTTGACCAGACAAGGGGAGCCACAGTCATGGGGGGCTTAGTTTGCTGCTGAGTTCATAGGCAGATGTATCATCAGGTCACCAGGGAGTGGCGGGAAGGGTGACGCCAGAGTCTGCTGGATCCAGGAGAGCCATGTGTGTCATGGTGCCCAGGAGGCAGAGGGGGAAGGTAGGTGGGTGAGGGAGGAGCCCTGGCAGGGCCCGGTGACAGCACCCTCACCCGTGAAGCTTGTCCTCCAATCACTTCCTCAAGCCCCCCCTTCAGGGAGAGAAGCTTTAGGGGTTGTCCAGACATAGCCCATAGCAGTTTCAGGAGCACCCGGGGCCCCACTACCTCTACGTCCACGGCCACCTAAGGGCAGCCCAGAGGCCCTGTCTCCAGGGTCCAACCACCTGCCACACGGCCTCTGAAGGCCCAAGCCTCCGACACAGGAAGCCTTGAGACACAGACCTTGCCCCTGCCATGGCCCCTCACTCTTCTCGCCTGCCCAAGCCATATCTGAGGTCAGGTGCCCCTCTCTCCTGTCCACAAACTCCTGTGCTGCTGTGGAAGAGCCCGGGGCCCTGCTGGGTGCATGCTGCACACTCATCATCCAGGCCCCCGAAAAGGCTGAGGCAGGAGGAGCCCGGTCTGGGCAACTTACCAAGCTCCTATCTCAAAAATTAAATAAAAGGGTTGGGTGTGTGGCTCAGTCTGAAGGCCGTGGGTTCAATCCCCAGTACCTCTGTCAGTCCGTCCTGGACCTAATCTGCCGTAGAATATCATTTTGTGCAAGGTAATTCCCAATATTTTTCTGGGAAGAAATTGATATCCTGTAGGAGGGCATTAGTGAGAAACCTCAGTGAGGTGAAAACATGCTGAGAACCTGTCGCCCCCTCCCGTCATGCGAGACGGAGTGACCCTCACTGCATCCTCCTGTCCTGGCTGCCCCTGGTCCCATCACAGGGCACCCTGTGTCCACAGCCACACGTGGTGTCGCTCTCCTGGGCCTTCTCCTTGGGACGCTGACTTCACGTCCATCCTGCCTGCAGAGCTGACTTCAGCAGGCAGATGTGGTCTTCTGCTGACTCTGTCCTACCCAGGCCTGCTGACAGAGCCTCTGACCTGGGGTCCAGCAGTGTTCCAGAGGCTGAGGCAAGAGGAGCTGGACTCAGAGGCCTGCCTGAGCAACATAGAGAAGTCTCAACCAGGTGTGCACTCTTATTATCCCAGCACTCAGGAGGCTGAGGCAGGAGGATCATCACCAGTTTGAGGCCATGTAGTGAGCTCCATACCAGCCTAAACTCCTAGTGAGACCCTATCTCAAAAGTACAAAAAACAAACCTGCAAAGGACTGCCAGGAGAACAGTGGTCAGAGGCCCTCTGGGATGAACCTTGGTTGGGGTCCATGGTAGGACGGGGACACATTCCCGGACCAGTTGTGCACAGCTTTTTCCCCCAGTGGTATCACTGCCATCAGTGACTTATCCCGGGGACCTGTGCTAGACAAGGGTCATCCATGGAGCCGAGCTACACTCAGGACCACCCCTGTCTCCGGGAGCTTATGAGGGGCTCCCCGGAGCCCCAGGAAGCTCAGCCATGTTGGGCGCAGGCGCTCAACATACCATACCCCACCCGGGACTAAGGACCACGCCAGCTTCCGCAATGCGCTACGTCCCTCTTTAAATTAGCCAACCCGTGCGCACTTCGTGCTCACTCCGTACTCTGTGGCAACTCCTGATTGGCCACAGCTGGATATGGTAGCCGGAGCCTGCGTCCCATTCCCGCCCTGCTTCCTCGTGGCAGCCTGTGATTGGTCATGGCCAAATATATAAACCAGAGCCCGCGTGAATAAAGCAGCAGTTAACTGTCGTCCACAAAAGCGTCTCCTGTCTCCTGTTTCATTGGAGCTGCGCCGGTCAACTGGTGGCCCGTACAGGGAGCGCTGAGACCCTCTCTCCGACAGTACAAGGAGAGCTGAGACCCTCTCTCCGACGGAACAGAGACGTTAACAGGTAAAAGGTCAAGCGCCAATAGCGGGGGCTACTTGGCGGGCGGGGGCTGACAGGTTAAACTGCTCAACGTTGGTAGCGGGGGTTACGCAACAGGCAGCGGGGGCTGTGGGCCGGATGGCGGGGGCTATCGGGCAACCTTGGGCGAACGCGTCGCAAGGGTCAGGAACTCGTAAAGAGAGTTCCCGGTGCCGTAAAGAGGCAGGTTTTGGGGGCGCCGTAAAGGGGCGCGGGGACTAAGCTGTCCCTGTTATAAAAAAAAAAAACTCTTAAAATTCCGGTTAACATGGGTAACACGGCTACTCAGCCACTGTCAGTCGCCTGAAGCGACTTACTGAGAGAAAAGGGATTACAAATGAAACGAGAACAAATTCAAAACTTCCTCAATCAGGTCGATAAGGTAGCACCTTGGTTTGGTCCCACGGGGTCCATTACCATCCCCAGCTGGGATAAATTAGGGAGAGATCTTGACTTTGCAGCAGAAAATGGCCTCCTGGAGCCAGGAGTCAGACCCCTTTGGGCAGTGGTGAGAAGCTGCCTCGCAGACACCTCTTGTCGTGACCATATAAGGGCTGGCGCCATGGCGCTTGGTCACCATCAGGCAGAATCCTCCCACGAGCAATCTCGCGAGTCCAGTGCCACAGGCAAGGTGACCCCACCCAACCCAGAAACAAAGGACTCGTCAGATAATGAGGGGGAGGAAGAAGAAGTATACAAAATGGTGGATGCAGACACCACCGAAAGAGGGGAAGTCACACACACACACGCAGTCGAGAGGGCCTTACTCTGAGGCCATAAATGAGCTGCAATGCAGGATTTCTCAGAGTAAATGGGTCAATGAAAGTGAGTACGGGATCCCAGGGCCGCCCCGTATAAGACCTACGGCTCTACCTCCCGACCTGCCAGATTATCATGCTCACCGGAGACCCTGCCATCAGCTATGTAGCTGTCCGCAACGGGTCCAGACGTCCCCTGGGACATTCCAGGAAGACCTTTGGCATCAAGTCAAAAGAGAGGACCCAGGAGGCCTGGGCCGTTTTCTCCAGGCTTTTCCGGTTGCTGTAGATGCTCAGGGAAACAGAGCCTACCTGCCTATAGATATGAAGGCGATAAAGCATCTTAAGGAGGCCAGCACCATGTACGGTGTTAACGGGGCATATACCCTGTCCCTAGTAGAAGCCCTGGCAGGAAATGCCATGACACCTGCTGATTGAGCCAGTTTGTGCAAGGCAGTGCTTAGCCCAGGCCAATATCTTGATTGGAAAGCTTGGAATGTTGAACTTGCCACAGAACAGGCCCAAGCTAATGCCCAGAACAATCAGGCCGCCTGGAACGCGGATATGTTATTAGGACAAGGGCAGTATCTCAATAACCAGCTGATATTTCCACAAGAGGTGTATGCACAGATAAATAGAATAGCCATACAAGCATGGAAATGGGTCTCGGCTAGGGGAGAAGTCTCAGGCCACTTGACAAAAATTTTGCAGGGCCCGAGCGAGCCTTTTTCAGATTTTGTGGCCCGCATGATGGAGGCGGCAGGGAGAATTTTTGGGGACGCAGAGACAGCCATGCCGCTCATTGAGCAGCTCACAGCTGCTCTGGGTCAGCATCAGGTGTAGTTCGTTAACTTGGCAGGAGTCGAGGCTTGCCATTGTTGACGGCCCTACCACAAGACAAAGCAGAAGCCGCATCCAAACTTATTCAAGAGCAATTAAAGTTAGGCCATATCAAACCCTCAAGTCTATTCTGTTTAAACAAAAGGAGGGTATTGCCCAGGGCATGACACCTAGGGCCAGACTAAATCTTGCCCTCTTCACTTACAATTTTGTAAACATCAACCCACAAGGATCCACGCCAGCACAGCTACATGCCAACCCTGTCGCACCCAAACATGGTTGGGTACGCTGGAAAGACCTCCTGCATGGGGTGTGGAGAAGCCCCAGCCCAGTACTTAGTTGGGCGAGAGGGGCGGTCTGTATCTTCCCGCAGGAAGAAGGCAGCGAACCTGTCTGGGTCCCGGAACGCCTGATACGTCCCTGCAAACCACCAGACCCCGACCTAGAGGAAACGTCAACCACAGAACAGGGGAACCAACAGGAGCCTCACAAGCCAGACCTAGCAAGTACACCCACAACTCCCATTAACTATGGCACCTTGGCCAACTCCCCTGGTTAGTAGCCTCCTTTCCCCCTCCTTCTTGCATCTCGTACGGCCCTTGCAGCCAATGACTTTTCTAAATTGCTCCACCACAACCTGTTATATGTTATAATGTTGGGATAACAGTACACTTTCAGCTGTCGTTATGCAGGTACTCCAGTTTGCACCGGTTCCAGTTATGGCGGACTCAGATGAGTTTCCTGTGATCCAGCTCGGGCCAACTCTCCAATTGGCTTTCATAAAGGAATGGGCAGGAATAGGGGCTCTGGCTACCATGACTACACTTGCCGCATTCGGCAGTCTACTTCTGCTCTGTCGGATTCGCAGACAAAGGAATAGGGAACAAGCATTGCTGATCATGGAATCTGGTCAAAGCCTGGCAGCATGGCTCACCATGCTGTGATGCAGGTGTGGAGCAAAGCATCGCAGGGGTGTCGTCCTTGGCCAGGAGACACCCCGGTCCCCATGTCGGTGAGCATGCGGGTTGGGCTCATAAAACAATACTCCCGCCCCCTCCAAAAGAGCACCAACGAGTAGTGAGGCACTGTCATGACTGCAGCGTGACACCTCACGAGGGGCGCCGACCTCTGGAGACCCTGCGTCAGTTATAAAGAAAGGGGGAGATGTTGGGCGCAGGCGCTCAACATACCATACCCCACCCGGGACTAAGGACCACGCCAGCTTCCGCAATGCGCTACGTCCCTCTTTAAATTAGCCAACCCGTGCGCACTTCGTGCTCACTCCGTACTCTGTGGCAACTCCTGATTGGCCACAGCTGGATATGGTAGCCGGAGCCTGCGTCCTATTCCCGCCCTGCTTCCTCGTGGCAGCCTGTGATTGGTCATGGCCAAATATATAAACCAGAGCCCGCGTGAATAAAGCAGCAGTTAACTGTCGTCCACAAAAGCGTCTCCTGTCTCCTGTTTCATTGGAGCTGCGCCAGTCAATCCAGACTCGGGACCCCCGACACCTGCAGCTGAGGGACCGAGCCCTGTCCTCCAGCAGGAGGCACCCCCAGCCAGTTCCTTGCCAAGCCTCGAGCAGCAGCTGTGCGCATGTGCGATGCAGAGACAGCGTGTCTTGTCGTCAGCGCGGGGGATCTGCCCATCACCCTCGCTCATCACTGGGATCGTATGGAGCCTGGGTGGGGACAAGGTCCGGTCCGAGCGGCACCTCAGGGTCCTTTGGGTTTGGCAAATTCATTTGCTGAATATTTGAGACTTGGGTGGTAGCAGGAGTCCGCTAGCAGGCCCTAGCTTCCGACAGCCCAGGTTTCTGTGGACACACATACACACCTGTGCACATACACCTCTGTCTGTTCGTGTTTTGAGGCAAGGTCTCTCTCTTGAACTATGTAGCCCAGGCTGGAACACACTCATGGAGCTCCTCCTGCCTCCGCCTCCTGAGTATTGTGTGCACCATCATGCTTAGCACACGCACTATCTTGCTGCTGATTTCAGCTCAGTTCAAAGTCCCCTTTCAGGATCAGGGACAAAGCCCTTGCCTAGTCTTTTTGAGGATTTGAGTTTGCTCCAGTATTGCAAAAAGAAAAAGAGGAAAATCAGCCTTAAATATCTGCTGTGCATTGCAACAGAATAAAGGCAGGTGCTCCCCTCCCCCACAACGCCCCTCCTGCCAGCAGCTCCCTTCTTTCAGGGGGTGGGAGTGGGGAGGTGATTTGCACTGCTGTCCTGTACAGCAAAGGGAATCTTGAGGATTAAGAGATAGCCTGTCACTGCAGGATCGGGATACAGTGTGGCTCTGTGTGCCCTGGGTTCTCAGGAAGTGTCCACGGGACCTAGCGCCATCCTCCTAGTGGGAGGTGGTACAGCACTGGGGGACTTAGGGGTTTCCCTAGGTTTGCAACCTTTTCTTTGAGACTGCATCTCACTGTGTAGCCCAGGATGGCCTTGAACCCATGGGGATCTTTCTGCCTCAGCCTACTGAGCGTTGGAATTACAGCTGGCACCTTCTACTCCATGCCCCATGTAACCTAAGGCCTCCATGCTACTCGGGAGCACCATCCCTGAGCACCCCCAGCCCTCCTTCTTCTCTGCAGCAGGGGGGGTTAAGAGGTGGTGAGTGGAGCATGCACACCTCAGATGCTGCATGTGGAAGGGTGGGAAGTTCTGAATGAAAGGGGAGGCCTCTGACCACTAATTACCTCCCAATTTCAGAAGCCACAGACTATGGGCCAGGGAAGGGAGGGAATTTGACCAGGGTGACCTCAGCTCAGGGAAGCTTCCCTGCTCATCAGGCTCAGGAGGCTGAGGCAGGAGGATTGTAAGTTTGAGCCCTGCCTGGGAAATTTAGCAATTTAGCTTAGTCCCTGTGTCAAAATTTAAAAAAATAAAATAGAGGCTGGGGATGTAGCTCAATGTGAAGGATTTGGATTCAATTCCTGGTACTGCCAAAACAAATGAACAAAAAATCTCACAATTTTAAAAGAACAATTTAAAAAATCTTGCAGTTATGTTGCTAGGACTCTGTTTTTAATTTTAAGTTGAGTAAACATACCAAAGCCTTGTGAGAGAGGCTGCAGCCTTTGGTGAAAGGAGTGTCCTAGAATCACCTGGAATTGTTTTAAGTTACACTGAACCCTCTAACCCGTCCCACTCCGGGGCGCACCGCTGCTGGTACGCACTGTGCCATCCCAACACTGGCCGCGAGGGGGCGCATGGCTGGACGCCCCGCTCTGTCTTCAGGGCTTGGCTCTTTCCTGCTAGCCCTTTCCTGAAAAGTCGCCCCGTGTACACCGCTCCCCCGACATACATTTTTTAAAAATACTGTCATGGTAACATAGGAAATAAAGCAGCTTGTAACAAAATAATGTGTATTTCAATAGGCAAAGCTGTGCGCAAAGACAGGAGGAAATGCATGACAATGTACTCGTCCAACCTGCTGGCCTGAACACAGGTGACTCCCGGGCCTTGGGTGGCACAGGTTCAAGGATGTGATGGGCACAGATTAAAGACGCGCCGAAGGTCTCCGAATATGCCAGGCACAGTGACACATGCTCGTAGGCTCTGCTGTTCAGGAGGCTGAGGCAGGAGGCTCGCTTAGGTCCAGGAGCATCGATGGCAGACCTGAGCACGCAGCAAAGCTTTGTTCGAAAGAAAAGAATGTTTTAGAGGTCATAGAAAGCCATTGGTTTTGGCAGCCTTGCGGGAAAGTCCTGCAGCAAAATGGGAAATTGGAACCTGGAGCATGTAACGTTTTGTTGTTTTGTGTTTCCTAGAACAAGGGATCCCTGGCCCATTTTGTTTAATTTAATTTAATTTAACCTAACTTAATTTAATTTTTTTGGACACAAGCTTCTGCTAAGTTGCCCCGGTTGCGCTCAACCTTGCAATCCTCCTGCGTCGTTCTCCAGACTGCTGGAATGATAGGTGTTCACCACCACACTCAGCTTCTATCATACGCCTTGACTGCAAGGCAGCAGCAGGGCAAAAGGTTAGCAGAGAGAGCACTCCCACCAGGGGTAGCTGCACCCTCAGCCTCCATGAAGGAGTCCAAGAAGCCTCGGAAGAGGAGAGACAGGGCATGCCTCAGTTTCCCTTTTCCTGGATGTCCTTGGTCTCCTAGTGCCAGACGCAGGCAGCACCGGAAACCACATTTGACTTCAAACACTGGAACGCAGGGCTCCCAGACTGTGCGACTGAGCCCTGCAGGACGTTTGCCAGGCTGGCGCCCTCGAGGGAGTGGCGGTCACTCCGTGTCACCCTCGCGTGTACTGCGCGCCCCAAGGCTGAGGCGCGCTGGCTGCCCGGGGTTAGGGCCTCAGGATGCAGCTGCCCGGCAGGTGCTGCCCTGGACCGGGTCGAATGAGAGGGCTGGGGAGCCAGGGCGGTGTCTCGCGTGGCCGCGCGGGTGCAGGGCCGCTGATCACTACCTGGCGAGTGTGTGCATCCTCGGGACAGGGTTGGAATCGCCGACTAGGTGCGCGCGCCTCGCCAGGTCCGGCTCGTACACTCGCGCCCCTGACCTCCGTGACTCCTGACCAAGTTCGCGGCCGCGCGGGTCAGCGCACACCTTAGGTCTCCGGGACGCGCCAGGGCAGCGGACGCCGGGCGTGAGCCCTGCGACACCCAGCTGAGGGACCGCCGCGCTCCTGACCTGCCTCCGCAGAGGTCTTCCACCCCACTTCGCCTCCACGGTCCCCTTGCACCCCAGGCCTGGCTGCGCCTTAGGGCCAGGAAACTCAAAAGGTTCTCAGGCCGGCGGGGACAAGAGGTTACATCTGGCCTCGCCCCCCCAGGAACGGCCCCCCCCCCCAGTAGGAGCTAGGCTGCGCCCTGAGGGCTCATGACCCGCCCCTTAGAGAGACCCCGCCCCTGGGAGTCTGAGCCTGGAAACAGCCCCAGGGGACCAGGCCGTCCCCTAAGGATGGCCACACCCCAGGAAACAGACACCGCCCCTGGAGCCCAGAAACCCACCGTAGAACCCAGACCTTTCACCAGAATTCAGACCCGCTCTTCCGAGCGAGGCCCCGCCCTCGAAAACCTGGTCTTGCGGCAGGAACCGGACCCCACCCTGGGAGAGAGATCCCGCTCCCGACGTTAGGCCACGCCCACAACCAGCTCAGACCACGCCCCGGAGCAAGACCTCCGCCCTATGACCCGCCCCGGAAGCCCAGGCCCCGCCCCGCGGGGCGGGGGGAGGCGGGCCGTGCGCGCTGGGCGGCGGGCGCGCGCGTGCAGGCGAACCCGCGGGAGAGCGCGGCACAGGCGGCGGTGGGCGGGCAGAGAGAGCTGGACGGGCAGAGGCAGCTGGACGCGCGCCACAGCCAGACCAAGCAGAGCGCAATCAGCCGCCCGGCCGTGCCGGAGCCGCGGACGCCGGTGACCTCAGCCTGGGGAGCGCGGCGGCGCGACGCGCGGGGCGCCTCGGCGGGGCGGGGCCGGCGGGCGGGGCGGGCACGGCGGCGGCGCGGGGCGCTCGGGCCGGCGGGGCCAGCGATGAGCCGGCGCGCGAGAAGGCTGCACGCGCCCGCCGCCCGCAGCGCCCTCCACTCGCGCAGCTGCCCGCCACCCCGGCCCCAGCCATGGAGGCGCTGAGCAGCCCTGCGGGCGGCGCCCCAGACACCAAGCCGCAACCACCCGGCGCCCGCCACTCGCCGCCGGCGCGCTCTGCAGCGGATCGCAGGCGGCCGCACCGTGCGCCCTCGCCCGCCCGCCCAGCGCCCCGGGCCCCGGGCGCCGCGCCCGCTGTGCCGCGCGCCCCGGTTCTTGCGGGTCGCCCGCCGTCGTCGCCGGGATCCCCCGCGCAGCCGGGCCGCCTCTCCAGGCGGGGCGCCGGCGTATCGAGCGCGAAGGACAAGCCGCTGCCGGGCGCCGGGGCCAGGACGACGGGCGGCGCCAAGGCCGCCCCGGGAGCCCGCAGGGCGGCGCACGCTGTTCCCACCGAGCCGCTGCCCCGCGCAGGGAAGCCACCGGGGCCCGCGCCGCCCATCGCCGCCGCCAAGGTCCGCAGGGCTAAGCGCGGCCCCGGGGCGTCCTCTGTGCGGGTCCTCCCCTCCCTGAGCCCCGCCGTCCGCACCCCTAATGCGACCCTCGCCGTGGTCCCCGGCGCGCGCGCTGGCCACACGGACAGCAGCTCCGACCTCTCCGACTGCGCTTCTGAGCCACTGTCTGACGAGCAGCGCCCGCCGCCCGCTGCAGGCAGTGACGTCGAGTCCGGCACCGGCTCCAGCGACCGCGAGCCCGCACAGGGGCCGCACACTCGCGGGGCGCCGCCCGGCAGCTCGGAAACCCTCTCGCACCTCGCCGCACCTGCTGCTGGCCTCGGGTGCCACAGCAACACCGGCGCGGTCCCATCGGGGTCCCCGGGGCGCAGCGTGGTGGAGAATGGCGGGGGGCGTGCGCTGCCCGAGCGAGTGGTCCTGGGGACCCCGCAGGAACCCGGCCCGGGCGAGCTGCCGCGGCTCGGGCCGCGTTTGGAGGAAGAGGAGCTGCTGCGAGAGATGGAGGAACTACGCTCTGAGAACGACTACCTCAAGGTGAGCGGGCACAGGGCCCGGTGGTTCTGGGGTCCCCACCTACCTGTCCCAGATGCCCTGTGTCTTGGAAACTTAAGCTGAAACTTCAGAAGGACGCAGCCGGACCTGCGTGGTCCTCACTCAGCTCTCCTCGCGCTCTTGGCAATCTTGCTGTTGTTTGTTGATGCTTTCTCCTGCTATTGGTGAGTTTGCATACAGGTGGCTGTGGTCGCTTTGGGTTGACCCTCACCCATGCATCACCTGTTGGAGGAGGTTGTCCCTCGCTGCCCAGCTCTGGGCTGACACACGTGCACATGTGTGTCTGCTAGGGCCAGGGTGGTGGCCCAGGCTGCAGACTGGCCTGGCCTCTTCCTGCAGTTGCCGAAACCGCCAGCGGCCCTGGGTGCCTTCACTGGCCCTCAGGCATAGTCGGAGGGTGTCTAGCTCCTTTCAGAAGGTTCCTGAGCATGGCCTGGGGTCAGGACTTCCCTGGCTGTGCAAGCCAGGCCCGCTCTTTCTAAGGAATGGCAGCCTCTGCTGCCCTCCATGTCCTCAGGCAGCCTGCTGACTGGGCCTCTCAGGCTTGTTAGTGAGTCCTGCTTAACCAGGCTCCTTCTTTCGTGGAAGAGGGCTAGGCTGCTGCACAGAGCTCTGGACTAGGTGGGGGTCACCACAGTTGATGAGACTGGAAAGAGGAGGAGGCCACAGGCAAGCAAGTACTTATGATAATCCTCAGGTAGAGCACCAGGGGTCTAGGTCTACTTCTGTTCCTGTTAGGATCTCAGTGAACTCCCTTGCTTTGTTGGTAGGTTCCATGCTTTGAGCTGCTTTGCTGCATATATGATCAACCTACTCAATCGGGGTCCACTTTTTGACAGGTAGGGCTGAGGATTGGTCTTTTAAGGGGTGGCAGTGAGGTGCATTGCTGTGAGCTCTCCTAAACCCAATCTCTTAGCCAGAGCTCCTCTCAGCAGCAGAGCCCAGAGCTTACCTTATGTCACTCACTGGACTAGCCAGTGAGGAGGGCAGAGGGAGGATCAGACCAGGACTTGGTGGAAATGTTTCAAACAGCGCAATGATGCTTTTGTCCCTGGCTCTTACATAAGCCATAGCAGAATGAGAAAAGCAACTATGTTGTCTGGCCTTCTCCTGCAAGTCTGTTTGGTAGGTCCCTAATGAATGAGGGTGAGAAGCAGCCTGACTTGCTGTATATGTGTCCAAATTAAGAAGGGAAAGCAACAGAAAGCGCAGTTTCCTTGAAAAGGCATTTCTTGTTACATCTTTGGTGTTGGAGATGGCACTCTGACATGGTTTCAAAGTTTATTATTGAGTCTGGGCTGTTTTCTTATCCTTTCCCACCGTTAGATTCTCAGGGAAGGAAGCAGATCAGAGCCTTCGAGGAAGCTGGGATTTCAGGGTGTTTTCTCCTTGTGCCGCAGCCATGTAGCTGGAGCCCAGGGCCTTAGAGAGCCAGCGCTGCCCCCACTCGGCCCCACCCCCACCTCCGCTGTTACATTTATCACAATTTCGACTCCGCAGACAGGGAATGCCGAGAACTTGGAACTTCAGGCACTTGCCCAAGGTCACTCTGCCTGGACTGTTTGTGCTGCCTCTGCGGCTCGCCCCCTTTTGGCTTTGCTACCCACCCATCTCACTTCTGGCAAGGCCAGGTCCTCTGCCTGCCCTGAGGAGATGTTCCATTAGCTAAGCAGGGTCCCTGTTTTGAGCTTTCTGTGGCTCTGTTTTCTTTGGAGGCCATCATGAACCCACTCTGCTAGCCTGTGAACCAAAGCTCTGCAGGCCGAGCTGGTGTCATTTGTAGGAGATGCTCAGTTGCTGTTTCCTAGGGGACAGGTGTCATGCCATCTGTTTACCGAGCCTGAGCCAGAGGCCTGGCTTTTTCTCTGACAGCCAGAGGGAGAAGTGGGCGGAGACTTAGGCACCAGACACCTGGGTGTATAGGTGCACCTGTGTGTATAGGTGCGTGCGGTGCATGTTTGGTCCTTCACAAGCTTAGATTCCAGTCACACATTTTAGGAGAGAAATACAAGAATCTTCATGAACTTCCACCAGCCCTGAGCTGCCTCCTTGTGCAAAATTAGACTCCTGGTGCTGGTACTCTTGAGGAGCAGAACAGGGGCAGAAGTCCTGCCTTTCTTGGTGCGTGGTGCTCCGGGTACGCACATTATAAACCCACACTTACACTTCTCTTTCTGTTGTCGATGAACTCAGGATACTTTTTTTAGACGGAGATAAAAGTGTATCCTTGACCTACTACTTTATTGGGGAATGCTGCACAGAACTCTCGAGATTAGATATAGCATCCATCTGTTCAGACGTTATCTAACCAGAAGAAGCCCAGCCTGGAAATTTTGCTTGGATGTATTCTGGAGGCTTGTACAGCCTTTCCTGGGCCACTGTGGTCATCACTGTGGTACAGGACTCTCATGGTTCCAGAGCACAATGAAACAGAAAAATCAGGCCAGTGTAACCCTAGGAATTTGTCTTATTGATTGTCTGATTGAATGGACAGTTCTGTGTCCTGCTTTTAGTGTGACTTACATCCTGCTGGGTGGAGGAGGTGGGGTTGACCCTGCCCCCAATTCCTGTCCCTTCACCCGAGGTGCTTGGGGACACTGAGTGAAAAGCACACAGAACCTGTGTGGTGGCTGGCTCCTGCATGGACACAGAGCCCCCGAAGGTGGCAGGAAGGGCTCAGAGTTGAACAGGAGCAGCGGGGTCCATGAGCTGTGTTTCCTTCTCGGACTGAGGTGTGGTCTGGTGCTGAGGACCTCCTCGCAGGCACCAGGAACCTCCTGTCGGATCGGCTGCCCAAACTGCCTGTTCCTGTGCCCAGACAAGCCTCCCTGCACCTTGTCGACTTATTAATTAGGTCTTCTGTGTCACTGGCTCTTCAGGAGGATGCCATCACTTCAAGTTTGTCAGGCTGTCTTTGACAGTCGGTGCTGGTGCCGCCTTTGGAACCCGCCCCAGAGAGCAGACCCTGTCCTGTGCACAGGATGGGCCTTCCTCTTTTCCCCACTTCCCATTTGTTTCAGAAGATAAAGATTTTGGTGAAAAGAACACAAGTTGGAGTACCAGTCGGGGGAGATTACTTTGGTTTCCATGCGGGGTGGGGTGAGGGTGGATTTCCTAAAGAAGATCACCGAGGTTTGGGTGGCGTTTTGTTTCGGGGATGGAGCCCGGAGACCACTAGTGACAACCACACAGCCCCACGCCCAGCCTTGAGGCCTGGGTTTGCCTTGCCTCTTGCTCCTTGCCTGGGGAAGTGCTTGAGTTTCAGGATCTGTGTGGCTGTCTGTGACATCTGGCTCCAGGAAGGGGACACGCTGCTGGGGCCAGTGAAAGTGTTTTCTCTGCTCCCCTTCCTCCCTTCCCTCTGGGGATGCTCGGTGGACGCATGCCCTCTTCTTTCCTGGCCTCCTGCTTTCCTTAGCCTAAGGAAGCCTGGTTAGGGTTGTGGTGGTCATCGCGGCTGGATGATGCTAACGGAGCCCAGAGCCGGCAGCTGCCAGCCGCGCCTTTGCTTGGTAAACAGTGTTCGTGGCCCTGCACCTCCTTGCCTGCAGCTGGCACACTTGCATTGCATTGCTGTTGTCCGGGGGACGGGCTGTGAGGTGGATTATTCACACATCGCAGAAGACAGCGTTCTGCCCAGCTCCTGGGAGATGGAAGTGTAACCACAGGAGCCTGAGGACCCACAGTGCTGTCCAGGAGGATGTTTGAAGAGGAGCTGTTAAAATAGGAGTAGTTATGGACTTAGGGTTGTTTGCTAGAGATTAAGGTTCAAATACAGTCATCAGGAAGATGGAGAGTTTTCGTTCCTTAGAAATCATGGCTTTGGTGTTTATTTTACATTTATATCTAACACTGTTCTAGAGGTTTTTATTGAAACATTTAATTTTCATCTTGGTTTATTCAGTACCTTGTTATTCCTTCAACTGCACATATATATATATATATATATATATATATAGTATATTTTTATATGTAAGTATAAAGTATATATTTAAAATATAAGTATGTAATATACAACATAATATCTATAATAGAGCTTGCTTTATTATCTGTAGGCAGAAGGGAACAGTTGGACAGCTTTACAGTACTTTAGACATCCGTTCTATGTAAAATATTTGAAAAATATAATGAAAACTAGATTAATTTTTTAATAAGACAATGGCCTATCTGGCAGATCCGGTGTTAATTCAGTATAAAACTGTTGATTAAGGAGGTTTTTCCTTTTACTAATTTTCTTGAGTAAAAAGACAATACCGATTCCCACTTTTCTTTGCGGGCTCTGCCTTACACCTGCCAGAAACACCCTGCGTTCTGTCCGACTTGATTTACTTAACTGACTGAGTGCGGGGCCTCTTCGGGGTTCCGGGGAGCAGCGTGTCCCCTGGAGGTTAACGCAGCGTTCACAGGAAAATCACTTTCCATCATGACCCTGCCTGGAATCATGGCAGTCGCCCTCGGTTTCAAGTGGCTCTGCCAGCTCAGTGTGGGTCCTAATGTGCTTCTCTGGGAGCTTCCTCTGACGGAACCGAGAATTGCTTTTCCCAGAGGCTGTAGAGCTGAAACACTGGCTTGGTCCTCTCCACCAGGCCAGGTGTGGGTGGCTCCCGAGCGTGTGCCTTCCTTCTGGGGCAGGGGCACCTTCCCGCTTCTGCCAGCCTGGGCCTGTGAGTGGCCCACACGCTGGCAGTTGTCAGGCCGGAGGCTTGTGGCTGCTGCTAGGTGAGCTACGCTGGTGCTGGCTTTCAGGGGTACAGCACAGGTCTGCTTGCCCCGGACCTGTGGGAGGAATGCCTCGTTCTCACTGGGGGCCCTACCTGTGCGCATTGAGGAGCAGGCTGTGTGCATTCGCAGCCTGCATTGTCTGCCGTCTGAGGTGGGACCACGTTAACTGGCCTCAGTGTGCGCCCTGTCGCCCTGTCCCCAAAGCTTCGGACCTTGTCCTGAGGTGTCTGGACTCCAGCAGCATCTGCCCCCCCCCCTCCGTGCTGGTCAATTTCCCCCAAGTTGTTTGCCTCCTTTCCTCTTATTCAGGATTAACCCCTGCTGGGTTTCTTGCTGTGCAGAGTCCTCTCTGCACAGGGCTCTGATGTGGGGAAACTTGTTGGTTATAGCAAAGATCCTGGTTGTAAGAATCAGTGCAGGTGGGCCAGAGCGGTCAGACTGAGTGGCAGAGCAAGAACCTACAATTAGGCCACGTTTGGAGCGAGCTTTCTCCTTGAGCCTCCCTGGTGACTGAACAAGAGGCGTGGAAATGGCCGAGTCTGGGAAAATGCAGACAGTCTCGAGAATGCGTGCCGCAGTCTTCCTTTCACAGGCTCCTCACTGAGTTCCTCTGTCCAGCCTCACCTCTGGGAGTGGGAAGCTTTCGTACTTGGCTGCGAGGCTGGATGGAGCCGTGTCCGACTTTGGTCATCTTCATGCTTTGGTCGTATGTGGGCTAACTTCTGTGCCCTGGGTGCAACGGGGACAAGCAGGTGCGGTTGCCTCTTTGGGGCTGACCCTCAATGTGAGAGACAAACGTCGAATCGGGGAAGATGCGCCAGTTGAGCAGAGGTAGGAAGAAAGCAGTGAAGGCCGGGACTAGACTTGGGGCTGGAGGGAGTGCGGGGAAGCTCACCTGTGACCTCCTCTTCCACCTGGGCTCCCAGTCCTGGACAGGGACTGGCAGGTGGCACCCTGAGGCTCTAGTGAGCCCCCAGGGTGTGGCCGGAGGACGCAGAGGAAGTCCTGCAGGTGTGGACAGGGGCTGGAGCATGTGTGTTAAACGCTGACTGCAGGCGGAGACAGAGTGGGAGGATTAGGGGCCGGGCCACCCCCTCAGGAGGGATGGAGGCCTGGATCCGGCTGGGGTGGGCAGGGGCAGGAGGCAGGGACCAGGGTGGCAGCTGGGGCTCCCCTGTGCAAAGCCAGAATTACAGCTGGTAGATTTAGAGGTTTTAATTGGCTTTATTTGCAATTCTACAACCAGGCAGTGCCCCATTCCCTGAAATCCAGTGCCTGTTCCTGTGGGCTGAAGAAGGAGGCTGGTTTCATAGACGGGGGAGGGCTGAGGAACAGAGCTAGAACAAAGCCCTACTGTGGTTTCAAAGTTACTTTCCTGAAAGGCGATCAGGGAGGCGGAGCAGAGGAAAATAACTGATGAGTTAACTCAGGGTCACTTCAGGCTCCTTCCCCCAGGGATCAGAGCAGCCCTACTGCACCTGCTGGAGAAGTTTTTGCTCTCTCCCCTCCCTGGTTCCCATGACCGTCAGCAAACAGTGTAGTTTTGGGAACCACTGGTCCACACTGCTCCATTTTGAGTTGTAGTCTGGTCTCTTGGGGCCCAGTGCAGGAACCCAGTCCCAAAGGAGGGCGTGTGTGACGCCCAGTCAGCGTCCTATACTCAGGATCAGCATGTCGGTGGGGAAGAGGCATCTGTGTTTTACTAAGGGTTACTTGGGAAAACCCAGCATGCAGCTGGATGGAAAAATGTTTTGATCCAAGCTAGTGTCATGCAGTGCTGAGATTTGCACTGTGTGGCGGGAGTGCAGGGACATCTGCCGGTGCACTGGGATCTCAGGGTGATCAACAGTTATTTCCCTGCTAACATTTATCTGCTTTCAAGTCAGTGTGTGTCCGATTCTCCCAGTGCTTAAACTGAGCCTGAGAGAGAGAGACTCGGGTCAGTGTTGGGCTGGAATCTGCAGGTCTCCTCATCTGTAGGGCTGGTTCTGTTTATGGTTGTGGAAGGAGGTGCTGGGAGGAGAAGTTCTCTGTAAGGCCACCATGGACAGTCCAGGCTAGGTCTTAGCGGGTGGGTCTGTGAGACTTGAACAGACGTTTGGTGAGGGAGACAGTCGTGTGCAGTCCCTTTCTGTATCAGACAGCATCTTGCTGAGCTAATGGCTGGATGTGGGTGCTGGGTCCTGAGCACAGCAGAGGGAAGGTGGACGCCGGGTCGGGAGGGGGTCAGTCCTTCCTCCTGGGCTTGGCTTGGTCATCTGTGCTGTCTGGTTTTCCAGGATGAGCTGGATGAACTCCGTGCTGAGATGGAGGAGATGAGAGACAGCTACTTGGAAGAGGATGTGTACCAGCTGCAAGAACTTCGGCGAGAGCTGGACCGTGCTAACAAGAACTGCCGCATTCTGCAGTACCGACTCCGGAAGGCCGAGCAGAAGAGCCTGAAAGTAGCAGAGACTGGGCAGGTGGACGGTGAGCTCATCAGGAGCCTGGAGCAGGACTTGAAGGTGCGAAGGAGGGCGGGCATGTGCGTGTTGGTGGGAGGCCGGAGCGCCCACCAGAAAGCTGACCTCAGGCTGTCTGTGCCTGCCATGTCTTCTTTTTCTTTTCCCTCTTGCAAAGTCTTTCCTTTTGCTTTTGGAAAGTCAGCGTGTTTAACTGCTTTGAACTTGCAAGCCTCTGGTACCCTGGAGCAACATTCGCTCCAGCACCCCCACGCCTGGTCTCGAGCTCCTCTTTCTCCTCTTCCTTCTCGCATCCATCACTGTGGGTTTCAGCATGAACACCCACTTGGTGACTTTGGCAGCCCAGGATTTACATCTGTTCTAAAACAGACCAAACTACAGCTTAGAATAACAAAAATATAGAAGTTGGAGAATGGATCCACAATAAAAAGGAAAGAGCACCTGCCAGCTACCCTGACAGCTGTAAGGAGATGGCGCAGATTCTGGAAGACCTGAGATGCACTCAAAAGAAAAAGCATCTATTGAATTTCAATTCAGTGAAGGGCCACTGTAAAAGCTGCCATCTCTCTTAACACTTTACAGTGGTTTAGGTTTCTAGGATGCAGGGAAGCTGAGAATGTTGCAACCCAGCTGCACACTGCTGAGTTTGCTGAAGGAGGAGCGAGGTCGGCCGTAATCGCCAGGGTCTGGAGGACTGTGGCGGGAAAGGCACCACGGCGAAGGAATCTGGGCTGCCGTCTTTGCTCACTGTGAGGGTGGCAGAGCTTCATTGTGACGTAGTTGTCACACCGTAGCTCATGGTGAATTATGCATAATGACGTTATCCCAGGAGCCCTTGTGGCATCCTAGCCAGCCTTCATCATAGCAGGCAGAGAATTTTTGTAATTCAGTGCCCCAAAAAGCCTTATTCAGTATGGGAGCGGAGATATCTATTTCTCCTACAAAGTTTCTTTCTAAAGGTTAAGTGCCTTTAGAAAGCACAAGGGTTTCATTGCTTTAGAGGTGGCAACATCCTAACCAGCTAAACTCCAGGTAGACAGCTTAGAACTTGGTGACCTGGACATCTGCAGGCAGAAGTATTTCATCTGGTGTCTCAGCAGGTGGGTTCGCTTCACCTCAGGGAACAAAGATGTTGATTTGTCTGCTGTTTTTCTAATGTAAAGCCTGGGTAGAATGTCAATCTTGATGATGTGCTGTGTTGAGACAGGGCTGTCCAAAATGGGCTTTTACTATGCAGTGAATCTGTCTCTCAAAAAAAAAAGCCAGGTGTGGTATCTCAGGCCTGCAGTTTGAGAACTTAGGCTGAGGTGGGAGAATCGCCATGAGTTTGAGGCCAGCCTGGGCGACATAGCGAGTTGAAGGTACCTAAAGTGGCCCTTTAATCCAGGTTTGGCTAATGTTTTCTCTCCCTCCTAAGGTTCCTTTTGTGTTTTAAACTGCAGGCACAGTAGCCCCTGTGGGAATGCTTGGCACTAAACAGTTCAGGTTTCAGAGTGTGTAAGGTGTTATGTTTGCAGGTCAGAGGCTGCAGCCTGCAACACCTGGCCTGTTCAGGGTAGGTCTGCCAGCTGCAGCCAGGAGCTATGCAGTGCGGTGTGGTGCGGCGTGGTGGCCTGCCTCTCCCTGGCCCTGCCTCCCTCCCATGCTCTGCACCCTCCTGATTAACCCTTGTGGCCCATGCAGGTAGCCAAAGACGTGTCTGTCCGCCTGCACCATGAGCTTGAGACCGTGGAGGGGAAGCGGGCGAGAGCCGAAGATGAGAACGAGACACTGCGGCAGCAGGTGATCGAGGTGGAGATTTCCAGGCAGGCCCTGCAGAACGAGCTGGAGAGGTTGAAGGAGGTAAGGGGCAGCGTGGACCTCGCCTGCGTCTTGCCGTCAGGAGCTTGGGCACCCGAGTCCCATACCTGTGCTGGAGGAAGGCAGAGCTGAGACCTGACCAAGGGTTTGTGTATCTGGCCCAGGAGACAAGAGTAGTTTTTAATTTTTTTTTTTGTACTGGGATTGAATTCACAACCTTGTGCTTGCCAGGCAGGCATATGCCACTGAGCTAAATCCCCAGCCTTTAAATTCTTTTTTCTAGTGCTGGGTGTGATAGCACAGCCCTGTAATCTCAGCACTGGGGAGGTTGAGGCAGAAGGATCGTTGTGCGTTCAAGAGCAGCCTGGGCTACAAAATGAGCTCAAGACCAGCCTGAACTGTATACAGAGACCCTGTCTCAAAAAGACAAAAATAAATAAATACTTTTTTTTTAGTATTGTAAACAAGCAAATCCACACAATCCTCCCCTCTCCCCTAAGTCTGTGGGTCAAAGACAGTGTTCCTAAACCACTTCCGGTCCGTATTTATGGAGAAGGGTGCTAAGCCCTGCCCTGAATCTGGGTCCAAGTGAGCCTGTTATTACTGGAGTACACAGTTAAGCAGTAGTTTTTTTTTCCTGAATCTTCTCTTTCAATGAGCTGGGAAGTGTGTTTTCATTGTCCCCTAAATCCCTGATGTGCACTGCCTGTATCTGTTATTCAGCCAACACGATTTCGATGTGGATAATTTTTTAACTTTACAGAGTAATCTACTAAAATCATTAGGAAAATGATTATACATTTTGCATTTACATACAGCAATGTAAATCCTGGTTTGTTGCTGACTTCCATAATTGGAATAAAGCAGAGTGTTTGCTTGGAAACCATCCTGCATATTGATGGTGTACAACAATTGTTCAGGTGCAGGTTCAAGCTGGTGTGTTATGTGCTGAGGGCCTAGCGTGGCAGCCCATCTGGGGAATTCTTGCCCTGGTGCACCTGGTCCATCTCACCCAGGTGACACCGGCACCTTAGGCATAGGCCCAGCCCCAGCTGTCTGTTCTGTACTTGGGTCACAGGTGCAGAGTCGTGGGCTAGGGCCACCTCCTCCTATCCTTGCTTCCTTCTGTCCTTTTTGTTGCTGATACCCTACAAATGCATGCTCCCAAGACAGGACGGGTTTGGGTTTGGAGCCGCTGAGAACAGGAAGCTATGGTGACCACTGCTGGCGGCACCTGCAGCTTCACGTGGGGAGCCTTGGTCCCTTCTTTTGCACGTGGATTTGCCCTCAAAGTTGTCAGTCTTTTACTTTGTGCTCAGAGTTCTTGGTACCCTTATCCTCCTCTTTTCTTTGGCTCTAACTTTGGCTCACAAGATTGTAACTGTTTCCCTTCTCAAGATTTCCAGTTTGAGTCTGACCTTGTTGGTTATAGAAAACAGTTTCAAAGTATATTTTATAAATTCGATATACATGTATGCATCTATGCTAATATGTAAGTATACATATATACACAGAGTCATCCCTCAATATCCTTGAAAGACTGATTCCAAGACCCTCAGTGACACCCAACCCTTATATCAAGTGGCCTAATGCTGGCAGGTGGCTACACACATCCACCTGGAGACCTGCAGCCACCTGCAGATGGCTTATCATGTCTGGCCCAGTGTGAATGCCATATACACAGGTGTTTATAGTGTCTTGCTTAGGGATAAAGACAAGGAAAGCGACAGACAAAAGATTTTGGATCCTCGGGTGATTGAATCCTTGAATGGGAAATGAGTGGGTACCAAGGCGGAGCGTGGATGTTCTATAAGCCAGGATTCTTCTGCTTACACTGCAATGCGTTTGTGTGGGGCCAGACATGGCCTTGTGGAGAAAGAAACAGGTCATGGCTGCCCTTAAGATGGAAAACATGGCCAGGGCAGGGGAGGCTCCTTAGCAGGAGCAGGAGCACCTTCCCTTGTGGGCCAGAGCTGCTAGTAATGGCTCCTGGGGTGGACCTGGCATGGGGCCTCCAGAGCTGCAGCCAGGGGCTGGGTAGAGTTCTGCTCACTGAGGTTAGTTTGCAGAGTGGCGAGTTTGATTTTCGTAGCCCTAGACAGCTTGCTTCCCTAAGCAGCGAGGTCTGGAGATGCTTTTATTTTGTGCTCCGTCTTGAAAGGACCTAGTTAGGCGCAGGCTTCTGACACTGAAGATAACACTGCATTATGTTTGGAATCATTTTGCTCTAGAGCAGTCTGCTGTCAATGCAGACTCCTGTTTGTTTAGACTGTGTGTGTACGGTGTGCTGCAGTGGCAGCTCAGGATATTTAGATTCACTGTCGATGTGCACAGGGCCCAGTCTTGCTGCACCTCTGAGAATCTGACTCTGGGCACGTTGAGTGGTGCCTCTGCCCCTTGGGCCTGCCAGCCTGGGGCCGCCTGTGCTCTGCTCTGCAGATCTCTGAGGCTCCTGTGGCTCTTCTGGGCCTCCTGGGCCCACGTTCCCACCTCGTCCTCTGTGTCACTTACTGTCTCCTTTATGCTTTTCAAAAAGGGCTTTTTATCTCTCAGTGCTCCATCCTTAACCCATCCTTAGAAGAGCTACTAATTCTCTTCTTTTATAAAGAAGTCAGAGTTACTGTTCTGTGCATCCGTGAAGTATACATTTCATTTCTAGAATTAGAGGATCTGCCACACCCTGCCTCTCGTTACTGTCTCATACGTCTTTGGCAGTGGAAGGCCATGGACTCTCCAGGCTGTCCCTGCCCCAGTGTGGCGGATCCCTCCTCTTGGGTCTGCTGCTAGCACTCACCTGGAGCGGTTTCATGGGACGCTTCTTTGCGGCTGTCCCAGGGATCTGCTCACATGTCCTCTCATGAGACCTCTGTGCTGGTTTTCCAGCGGCCTCAGTTTGTGGGCGTCCCTGGCTCCAGGCACTGCGTGTGTCAGGGTGGCCGGGTCACTGTGGCCACCTGACTGGAGGGGGTAGAAGTGACTGTTTCCGGCCTCCCGCTGGGGGGATGGGGTTGCTGCTCCTCCCATCGAACCGTCTTCCCTGCTCTAGTGCTGGGGTGCATTTGCCCCTCTCCTGCCCACTGTGTTGGTCCGGTAGTGGACACTCCTGCCTGACCCCAAATGCATGCCCCATGCTAGCCGCTGGAGTATTCAGGCCCTGACTCATCCCTGACCCTGAGGAATTCCTCAGCTGAATCCAGACCTCGCTACGTTAGCTGGCTTCTCTGGCTGTGTGTGGCAAAGGGGGCTGTGCTGCCCACACTGGGTCTGGCCTCTGGTCCAGCTGAGGCTCCCAGGAGCACTCTGGAGCGAGCTCTGGTACCCACTGCTGAAGTGGCCTGGCCTCAAGGCACCCAGGGCATGGTCTGCTGCCACGTGGTGCCTGCTCTGGGTCCGCCTCTGGGCAGCTCTCTCACCCCCTTCTCAGCCAACATCAAGGACTTGTGTGTCACTGCACACAGGTGTCAGGCCGAGGATACCTGGACTCGGGATGCAGACACAGTCCGTGGCTGCCTGCTCTTAGCTACTCGGCAGGGAGATCACTTTCTTGTTCCAGGCCTCACAGGCCCTCTTGTGCCTTGATATTTACTCGGGGAGCCCAGGAGGGGCTCGGGCCAGGGCTGTCCTTGGACCCAGACCGCCATGTGGGTGACCACCTCAGGGTCAGCCTCATTCCACCCTGGCAGCTCATGGGGTGGATGGGTGCTCTGCGTGCCTTGGACACTTTGGCTGGGCATGCAGCACACGCACATGTGCATGTGTGTGTGAGTGACTCTAGCCAGAGAGCAGAAGGGGAGAGAGTTCATGTTGTAAATGGACTGCGGGTGGAGTGGGTGGGAAGCGAGAGGAAGCAGAGTTTGAGGTCTTAGGTCAGCCGTCCTCCAGACACAGAAACTCGTGTTCTGTCTGTGTGCAGCCTGTGTGCGTGTGTCTGTCCAGCGTGGGCATGTGTCTGTGTGCAGCACATGTGTGTGCATATCAGTGTCTGTGTGCAATGTCTAGGGCCCCAGGGGAGCCCTCCTCCCACTGCTCCATGAGCCTGCGTGGCCAATGCTGGCAGCTGCCGGAAGAGTCCAGAGGCTGTGGAGCAGTGCAGGCCAGCCGTGCTTGCAGACAGGCTTGGTGTGAACTTCGGGACCCTTTGGTGTAGCGGAGCCTGGCGGGGAAACGGGCTGCTGTGGGAGTTTGTAGAGCCAGAACAGTTCTGATCACTCACAGACCTGGCCCTGGCCCCAGTCATTATCACATGGAGACAAAACCCCAGGAGCATCTTCTGGCAGGCAGGAGGCATCTGGGGCTGCACCCCGGAAGCCAAGCTGGGTCTGGAGGATGCTGCTGGCCTGGCCCAGTGCTCCTCAGCTCTGTTTGTTCCCCACATCTGACCGTTGGAGGTTTTAGGCCCAGGCTGTGAGATATGCTGTGATGGGGAGAAGAGAGGACAGGGAAAGACAGGCGTGAGCATGCCCCAGGCATGCATTAGCTGCCCTTGTCCAAGGCCCCATAGGACCACAATCTCAGGGTGTCCACCGGCTCCTCCTCGCTGTGACCGAATCCCCGGATGAGTAGCCTTGAAGCAGAGGAGGCGTGCAGGGCCCGGGGGCCCAGGGGATCAGGCCCAGTGCCTGGCCTATGCCATGGGGAAACAGGAAAAGAGGAGGAGACCTGGTCCGGGTGTCCCCTCCTGAGAATCCCGTGCCTCCCAGTGGTGACCCAGCTGGCAGCTGTGCATCAGCACAAGCTGTGGGGTCCTTTAGGCTCCAAGCCCTGCTTGGCCTCGTCATCAGCTCTCCTACCTCTCAGGACATAGATGGGAGCTGGGGCTTGGCAGGTAGCAGGAGTGTGTTACCCTTCACTCCCTGCTTGCCCTCAGGCTCTTTCTCTGAATCAAAGAAATGGCTCATGATTGAGGTCAGAAGTGGAAGGCAGCACCTGGAGCCCCAACCCAGATCCACACCCTGACCCTAACCCTAGCCACCCCACCCTCCTCTGTTCCCAGCTCCCTGGATTCTTCCTGACACCCTGCTTGGCCTCCTGTGTGCTGACCA